TTACGAAAATTTTGAAATAGGAGGAGCAATCGGATCTTTATGTTGGTCCACACAAATAATTTCATAAAGATTAGTACTATCATTAAGAACTGGAAAGGGTACATAAAATCGACTTAACAAAGATTCAACTTAATCGAGAGAAATACCCTGATTGATTTGGTCGGCATCAGATAGCAAGTATTTTGTTGACTAGGTGCTATTTTTATCTCACGATACCCATACCTACGCGAAAGCCATACGTGCCCCATGTACTTGTTGGTAAGCATTTGAAAAGCCTGCCGAAATATCGTCATCGACTTTGATGGATCACGATCACCATCCCGTATCAATACTTCAATTTGGATGATAACGAGAGCATTATAAGTCATGTGCCTCAATGTCTGACTGTGCGTCGATACCTTCTAACTCGATTCTTGTGAACGTATTAAGGACTGGCGCAATCAGGAAAAAATTAAATTTAAAGAGTGGGTATATGCTGAACCCATCCCAATCAACAATGAATCAGATTGGTGCACTCGTCGCCAGTATTAGCAGTGGAATATGAAGTCTGAAAATGAATACGTAAGTCTCGAGCAATAAAAACAGGTTTTTAATTTATAGGCACATAGTTTTTACATAAAGATGCTTAAATGTACGTCATGTTGTTCTGTTTTCCATTCTATGGGACCTCTTGTCACAAAAATACCTCAATCTTACAGTACTTGACCTGGACATGCAATACGATTTGCGTCCCACAATTTTATGGCCTTCTACGTCTCATCGTGAAATCGATAAATGTCTTACTAACAAGGTGGAATTTTATGCCAACCCTTTGGGAGAATGCAAAAATATGAAGATCGTGTATGATAGAAATGAAGCTATATATGATCGAATACCCGATAGGCGACGGGGGGAGTAAAAGTACTAGAGTGGCGTATGTATAATGTGTTTGAGAAAGATCATGCTGACCAATAAAGAAAGCAAGTACTATTTGAAGAAATCGGTTGTATAATACAATAATTTGTTGAGATGCGGGAAATCAAGATTAAAGTGTGAAGCATTAGGACGTAAGGATGCTAACATGTACGTCGTGTTGATCTGTTTTCCATTTTATGGATCCTCTTGTCACATAAATTCTCTCTATCTTACAATACTAGACCTGAGCATGGATCGATCACACTATGATCAGCAACACTTATGTCATTCAGTCCTACACTACCTTGGAAAGCAATAAGACCTATTCTAACTTTTGAAATAATAAATTGCACACAGATGCTCCTCGTCCATGCGATGGATCGTTGCAAGAGTTCATACTAAGCCAACCTTGACGACACCTCCCAGATAATTTACGACAAACAGACTAATTATTGATATGAGTAGTCGGCGTGTTCATATTTAAGAACGCATTATGCGTGCGAGAAATGAAAGTGAGGTAAACGGCCAGTTTTGTGCATGGTATCACTTCAGTGCACGATGCTGAATACTATCCAATAAAACGTGAATATTTTGAATCTAAGCAATTTATTGGCAGATGAGTTTTGAACCGGTTTAATGCACCATTCGCTATGTGCGAAGCAATTTTATCGCGTTAGAAAGGGTTTTTAAGTAAGGAGAGGCATTATCTGCCATCAAAAGCGAAATAAAAATAAGAAATCAGATGGTGATGCGCCGCGAGACACTACGAGAAGCGAGTCGTAGTCGATCCTCTGAAGAGAGTGTGCAACGGTGAATCGTGCGCCTAGGTCACGCGGACGTCATCTGTTCCGTTATGTACGTTGTGGAAGAAGGCGCAGTGCCATCACAGCGGGATCATGATTGAAGGGCTGCGTACGCATGTGAATATTGGTAACTCTTGCAAAATCTTTTCATCATTATATTCTTCCTCATTATCACTTTTACCGGGCAATTGTTTTATAAATCGGTGAACTTCTGCTGCGAACATGGCATCCTAGTGATCGCCTTGCCAGCATACGCTAAGCACATATTCCAGCCGCTTGACTTGGCCGTGTTTAAATTTTTCCGAAACAATCATCTGCGAGCGTCTACAGGCTCAAACGTATAAACGGCGGACCCAGCGCTGTCCAAACAGACAGCCATCGGGATTGCGTGCTATGTATACCGCAGCACCATTATTGGGAACTCCAGTAGTGCAACTGAGGGCTTTCGGGGTACTGCACGCTACCCTTTTTTTCTTGTTCAACTTGAGAAGCGTCTTGGTGATTATCAAGCTAAGGGAGTAAAAGGCGACTCTGGCAATGCATCCTGAATAGTTCGCCGACTGAATGTGGTCCTCACATTCCAGAATGAGGTCCTCACTAACCCTCCAAAGATTGTACGCAAGTAGAATAAGCGTAGAACAACGATCGACATCGCAGCCAGGCTGGTATCCGAAGAAATACTAGCAGAAGCATCCGGCCAGTAGTCGTGCACTAAACCGGTACCCAGTAAAATGGGCCCAAATTTGACTGATATTCTTAAACGCGCAGAGCTTTGTAAAAAAATTTATTAAGCTGAAACGATATGGATAAAACCGCCGCTAAAATGGCTTTAACATGGTGTTTTAAATATCCGAATCGTTTTATTTGCGTTTCTGGGTAAAATCTCCGAGCTGATTTAAAATCGTGCACTGAACTGGTAGTTTACCTGAGTATCCTCAGATTAGATATGACCTTTGTGCTAGGAGCGTCAATACGTCATTCAATAGTGGCTTGTACCGACACGATGTCGAGTCGCACGATTGCAGCATTAAAAATCAATTTTCCAGTCCGAATGCAGTCTGGTTCATTTAGTGTGAATTGAGGAATATTAAGCCACGATACGACCTTACAAGGCGGAACAGCCTATGTTCGTAGTCAAGCAGTACGACGATGACCGCGTACTTCAAGAGATCTGCTTTTACGAGCAATACATACAATCAATGCAGTTGCTGGAATCGACGCATAGAAGTGTCTGCGTTCTCATGCCATTTTCGGTAGTCACCATTGAGTGTTTATGGTAATGTGATCGCCATACCGACAACTGCTGTCGCCGCTTTCGTACCAAACAAAAAGCGATTACAAAGGGTAATGGCCAAGATACTGGCACGGAAAGTTCGGCAATTATGATTGACACTATTGCCAAGCTTTGTGTGGTCAAAAAACTTGCAATCACCTTACCTTTTCTGCTCGCGCGTGCTATCACGTTGTAGCACGTGATTTCAAACTTGTCAATGCACATGATGTAAACATCGGAAGTGTAGCTGAAATCAAGCATTATTAAGCAGGTAGAAGCAGCTTTGCGCACAGGATTGCAACGAATTTCTGCGTGCAATACGGGCGTCTGAAGGGAATGAAGCAGCTCCAGACGAAATTGAATAATGAAAAAGAAAGGTGGTTGAACGAAATTAGAAAGACGACCAACAAATGAGCATAACAGTCTTGCTCTTTTTAGCATAACATCTACCGGGTTCATTCTTTACCGGTACCTCTTCGGCACATTTTCTCTGACCGGTAAACAAATGCGGACAAGTGAAGTGTAGTTATAACACTGGCTTGCTATGAGTGTCGTTGGAATAGACGCCATCCGACACTGGTATTCGTCCGTCGCATCGGCGTCGCTACCCACAACAGATCGAAATTGATAGGTGTCGCAACTTGATCTATCGATAGGCGTCGAAATTTAGTCGATCGATAATATTTCTCGACCAAACCGACCAGAAGACTGCCGGCCATTGTCGAGCTTTTCGACCAGATCTCTTCTTATATAAAGGCTTAAGCATTTCTACGCTTTACACATGAGCGAGCGTACGTCAAAAGCTACGCCAAAAATCTAGAGTGCCAATAGTAGCCTTACTCGATACATAATGGAATTTACATGGCTACCAAAGCTGAAGTAGCCTGACCGAACGTTGCAATGAGGTGAACCCTGCCCTCTCGAGACTTGCGCGGAATGCTGGTACGGCCAGCTTTCGGCAGACTGAAGTACTACTGTTTCCGGCTCAATCGGACCACATCCTTACGACCGCATATTTGCTCGTTATGTTCGACGCATCATTGTCAAAAAATCAACACGGTCGTTGAAACGAAGGATGTGGTGTCAGGAGTTTGCGAATCCGACTAGAGTCGACGTCTGTTGGTGCCCCTAGTCGCAAATGTGCCCCCACAACAGCAGCCATGAGCAAAGTGTGAGGGTCGGCTATCGCCATCAGTTGACGCACGTGCGGCACTGCGTCCTGTGTGTCACTACGTAGTGTTGCACGGATCCATGGAATATCATATCAAAATGGATTGCGCAAGTGCACGCCGCAAAACTATGAGGAATACCGCTATCTGAGGTGTTCGTCGCATGTTGTCGTATCCTCAAGTTCAGGAAAGAAAAGCTGTGAAGCAGGTGCACAGATATGGCAGTGTGCTCGATGGGAATCGGCGAGAAGTGCTCTTGGCACTGCATGGTCCTCGCTCAGAAAGTATCGCTTCCGAACGTCACCTACTTTATCCGTAAAAAAGTGACAGTTGCTAGTCGATCTCCGGAGGTGTCTGACAATGAAACACCATTTACAAGCTCAGTGAACAATAAGTGTGACCATTTACGCCTTCCGTTCTTTGTACTTAGTGGAGCACAACGGCCTGAATATTCCGCTCTTCAGCATCCGTTTCTTCCGATACTAATTTGTCACCTACCACGTCCGATCGTAATTGCTACGAATGCTGACTTAGGCGATCCCTTCTTTGGGAAGTATTTATAACACTTACAAGCTTGCCGTCGCAGTAGAGACAGATACAGGTTCGCATCAACTTGTCGCAGTCTAGCCTTTCGTCATACCTAACGAATGAGTCGCACGTGAGTGATGTAAAATCACTCTGATGTTCTGCGCATGTCGGTCACACAACGCCCTCGTTGTGGGTAAATATCGTCGAAATGGCTTTTCAGAGAAGCCCCCTCGCAGATAACTAGGTAGCCCACACACGTCGATCCCGTCGCAGATTCTCTGTCAAAGTAAAAACATGCAATTTGTTGCAACTTCGCTGTTCCTCGCGACTGGGATGCTCAAAGCTTGGGGTCATACGCATTCTCTTGGGTATTTTCCGGATCACCTTCACATCGAACCGGGTGTCGTTGCGGAATTCGCGATCATCGCAGGTTCCATAGTTTGTCTATATGGCTTCCGACTCCTTCGCGTCATGGTTTTTCTGTGCGGGTTCCTCGTCGCCGGGCTTCTGTCCTCGGCAGCGTTGGAAAACACGTTTGGACTGGCGACGTGGGTACTGGTGGCTTCGTGGATTGGGTGCATGATCGCTGGTATCGCAGGTGGTTGTGTCGCGCTGGCATTTCTCCCATTTGGTGTGTTTTTGGCGGGGTCCATGTTGACTTTTGCGTTCACCTCGTCACTTCCCTACCGCGTGCTACCGGATGTATCCAACACCGTATTAGACGTTGTCGTGGTGCTCTTGGGTGGCATCTTGGCGTGGCTGCTCGTGCGACCCTTTGTTATTATTGCTAGCAGTCTCGTGGGCTCCGTCACGGTCATTTGGGGCATCGGCTACTTTGCCGGCAAGTACCCAAGCAACGACGACATTGAGCGCTTCCATTTGCGAGACATGGACAGAAGATCGTGGGTGCACGCAGTCCCGATCGCATGGTGGGCTTATCTGGCCGCGATGTTGCTGCTGTTTGTAGTCGGGATACTCAAACAAGCTCGAGATGCCAGCAACGCACGTAGTTACAGCCACATTGGTCACTACACGGGCTGGCGATCGAGTACTTTTCCGTGAGGCGCAGCGAGTCGGGCGATACGAAATGGGCTGCAGCAGTTTTGAGCTCGAAAAATGAACTCCTATTCATTATCATTTTTCTTGTCAAGTCGCTACGAGGTCACTGCAGGTCGCGTGTCTCTCCAGCAGCTTTGAAAGGCTCCAGAACCAGCACGGCACGATCAATAATTGCGCGCAAGTCGTCTTTCTCCATGATAGCGCCATTTCCATCGCTACGACATACTTTCATCAATTCATCTTGGTACTGTGTTGCACGGTCAGTGAGGCCGTTCAGCAATTCCTCATCCAGCTCTAGTGTTGACGCAGTTGGCAGATCGAAATGAGCAATGACGTAACGCAGCCATGCAGCGATGTCAGCACCCTTCAAACCGCTTGCAGCCGTCAGTCGGTCCGCAGCGTTCTCCAGCTTCTCGCCGAGCTCGTCAAAAAACGGGTCGCCTTTATTCTCGTCGACTAGCTCAGCATACCGGTCGAATACAAACGGCAAGAAGACCGTCGCAACTTGTCCATGCGGCATGTCTGAGATGCCACCTGTTGACACCGCCAGCGCCTGCGCCGCTCCTGCCCCCGATGAGTTGGTCGCAATGCCCGAAAGCACGCTACCTAGCGCGAGCTGCTCACGCAGCGCTGTAGCTTTGACATCCAACTTCTCTTGCGTGGTCAGTGCACCAAGAGCTCCCGCCACTACCTCCAGCCCCTCCAGTGCTAAGTCGTCATCAGCTCCGCCCAGCAAATAGGACTCCAGACACTGTCCCAAAGCCGTTAACGCACCTTGTACCGTCACGCACAGAGGGACCGTCAGCATCAACGTCGGATCAACAACCACCGCCTGTACATATGCATCGGACAAATTGTAAACAACATTAAAAACAACCCCACTGTACCCATGTCGAAAAAGTTACAACTTCATCTGGTCGTCTACCTCCGGCACGATCGCTCTTCCCGCTGCAAAGAGCTCTTTTGTTTCTCTCGCTTCATCCAACAACAACGTGCGATTGGCCACTTCAGCGCCACTGCCTGCAATGGTCGGAACCAGCAACAGCGGTGCAGTCTCGAGGTTTTCTTGGAGCAACTTAAGGTCCGCTCGCTCGTCATCATCGCTTCCTTCAGTGCCGAACGTCATGTAATCGACAGCTTTGCCACCTTTTGCCATCACCACTGCCACAGCTCGGGCCATGTCCATCGTACTGCCACCGCCAAAGGCCACGACACTATCAGCGCCCACCCGCTGCGCCATTGCAACAGCCTGGTCCACGCCCTCTACTGTCGCACAGTCCCGCCCGAGCGTGAATTGAAAGCACGGCACGCCCACGTTCAGTAACAAAAACTCAATGAACCGCGCGCGGGACGCGGCTGCAGCTTCGCGGTCCCGGACAAGCAGCACCTTGCGCATGCCGCTCGCGCAACTTAAGGCGCCGAGTCGGGCTGCAGCAACGTTTGCGCCAAACACGACCCGACCTGACTGCCCGGTGGCGCTGAGCTCCAGCGGACGCGCGTCGAACGAGTACGAGACGTAGCGCGCATCGTGGTCGAGTAGGGGGCGAGGGCGAAGGCGCAGTCGTCGGAGCATGGACGTGGGCGGGCGGGGAAGAGAGCGGTGGAAGGTGGTCGGATTGACAGGTTGAGACGGCTTATGTTGCAGTCATTAGACAAAGGGATGGAGCAACATATGCCCACTCAATGCAGCTCTATCGGGGAATGGTCCCACACACACACAGATTTGTACGACTGACCTTCCTGACGAATATCTGACTACCCAATTATTTGGGCATATGGCACATATTTGCGCTGAAGCGCACGCGACATCACCTTTATTCCTGCGATAGTTGTCGGTGTGTGACAGCACATTGGGCTTCGCATGGGGCAGTCTGAAGCACACAAATGAAGCGACGAAGTGGTTTGAGGGACTCGTGTCCCTTTTTGGACGAGTTGCCTTACGCACTGAGAAGTAATGTAAGGGCACGAGAGCGTGCGACTCGATTGGCAGCGGGCTGCAGCGAAGCTTGTTGTGATAGAGTGCGACAGCGGAATTTGGTTGGCATTTATTCTGCCGTTCGCGCCATACTCTGCCCATCCTTGATCGTTTGCTACGCGTTGCTCCCGGACCGCAGATTGGCCCCTCTTTTAAAAGTGAGTAACCCGTTCAGACCGTGTACCGTTTGTTAGAATCGTTTTACCTCATGGAACACACATCATCTCGACACAAGTAATGTAGCACCTCATTACCGAAACTACATTAACGTATATTCCTTTGATCAAATTGAGTAGGGTACCGATTTGTCTATTTGTAGCAGCACGTTGTACTGACGAATCTAAGTCAATGGCCGTACATATGTGTTCCATAAAGAGTGGCTTGCGTGTCGCTCTAAGTTTCGTGCCCGCAAAACGAAATCAATGTGGAATTGATTGTGAATAAGGAAATGGTGGCCGTAGATAATGCAAACCAGTCGTCATTTTACGGCAAATATGAATCAGTTCGTATGCAAAAGATACCGGAATGCCGTGGCGAGTCTTCCGAGTTCAATGAGCTGATAGAGATCGTTACCACGGTATACAAAAACTGTTATTGAAAAATATATTTCTTCGTCGCGCCCACTGAACCTATAACTGAAATACTGAAAGGCAATTAACTTAAAAGCAACCTTTGTAAATCAAGATCACTTGGTCATTTTCAGTGTAATCGGGTGTCGAGCCACTGAACTAGCCTAGTCAAACTCGAGCTCCGAACGTCTGAAATAATTTAACATTTAAACCCTATAAACAGAGCAAGGAGCTGATAGTAGTCTAACCGGTGTTTGTTTGATGAATTTGCCAGCCTTTAACGACGATATTTTGAGATTTATACTGTTCACATCTATCTGAGGTATCAAATATACAGGTGCTTATAGGGTCTGCGGCTTGATCGGAAAAAACGAAATATCATAAATAATGATCCTTAAAGAGAGCCGCTAAACATCATTCACTTTCGCCACTCACCACTCATCCTCCATTGTAACATATTGCAATTGGCTGATTTCAGTATTGTAAGTGGACACACTAATACTGATCTGGCTTGCTTTAAACCTACGATTTTAATCATTACACAAATTTCGCGATATGGAATACCACTTACATCAGCATGAACCTATCGTTCCACCCCGGTGGTTATTTCAGCCTCCTCGACATGAGGTAATGTATATATCACTCACATTCATTGGGAAATAATGAAGCACATAAAATATAAAGTGAAAGATGGAGCTTCGTACAGGCAGAGAATTCGCCTTGAACATCAAGAGATGCAATAGGCAGCGGAGATCTTGTATCCCTCTGATCAGCGTGTCTGCAAAAACACTGTCAGTTCTCTTATACATCAATTGCTAGGAAATTCATTTTCTATTTCTACTCTGAGGTATCCGCCGCAATTTAAAGCTGTGCTGATTTCTTTGCGGCCTGTAGATCGATACGGTATCTACGTAATCTGGACATAACCGAAGAAGATGGCAGTTCACTCCTTGAACTACCACAGTGACTTCATTGGAAGCTTTCAATGCTTTTGGTGCTGAAAAAACGGATGCACGTTAGTTTGAAACTTGAGTAATTTATATGTTCCTTAACTTAATAGCGCTTGCGGAGACTCAACAACAAACAGTATAAACCACAAAGCGTTCTGATACACGTCTATTACTAATGCGAGATTTACATTTTGCAGGATAAATTGCGTTTCCATATTGTTCATTTTTATATATATAAAGCACAGTAGAATGCAAGAGAAGGATGCAGCGTTTCGCCAATGGAAGTTGATTGGTGGTTAGCGAAAATTGAGTGTTTCAAATCGGCTAACTTTATAAACAAGAATCTTCTTGTAAGAAGATATCGGGTCCTGCCATTTAGTACACCCTGTCCGAAATAATACACATGCCCCATATTCAGTTGAACAAATAGAACATTGATGTGTATATTAGTTGAAACTATAACTTTTTGGTAAATACACTTTTTTGGTAAACTCTATCCCTACTCAAATGGTTGGCAGCGGATACTTAAAAAATGTTTACTTTCATCCGTTTGGATCACAGTTTGCCAAGCTCGCTTCGAATCGAAGTTCTTCATTCTCCAGTGCACACCATGGCACCCAGGCGCCTTTTCCAAGACCAACCTCGAGAAGCGAGAAGTTATCGAGTGGGTCAAAGATGATGTAGGTAGGATTCCTGCGCGCGCCTTGAAGCAATATTAAGCGGATCGAAGGTGGAATATGTCAGGTGCCCAAATTCGCTACTTGTGGAAGAATCGCACCGCCATCACGAACTCCCCGGCTCTGTAGCTGCATGTGACAGGTGGAGGAAGATACCCACGGATTGGCAAGGTATAAAATTTCCTGATTGACTAGATCTTATCCTGTGATCGGATAAAGATAAGTTGTCGCGTCAGTGGATTCAAGCATTTAAACGCGATCTCGCTAAAGCCCGAGCTGGACGACATGATATTTGCGCATCTGACAAGTGCCGTGCTAGCTTCATAACTCGTTATGGTATTTCTCAGAGGAACGGCTAAACTTACCATATATAGTGACGACGAGCTCACAGCGCGTACCGTGCGATTATAACGTGCCTCCCATCATAGAAGATCTTGCCGAACGCTAGCAGCACGCTCCTGATAGGTTAAACGGAGGTATTCTTTGACGATCTGCGGCGCAAAACTGTGGACTTTACTGGTGCTTCGTCACGTACTCGTGCGCTCGACAGGGTTCGATTTAATGCGGATCATTGTTGCGCTCACTGCCATAGCCTCGAGGATAAATCTGCCTCCTTATGATATGGAAAGGCGCGAACTACCCGAGAGCGGCGCGGTTTACGCTGCGAATCAATAGCGATCCTAAATGAACAGTGAGCTTCTTTTAGAGTGAATCGATCTGATTTTATAGAGTTCTAAGCTCCTACAGCGGGAGAGGGTTCGTGGCGGACTCGATGTGAGTGCATATAGCGAAGGACGTCAAGATGAAGTGCATCAGCAATAATATTTAGATGAATGGTATTTATGGAGGTCTATCGCCGTACCTGCAGACAGAGGTCATCGGAATATCTAAAGTCGTTTAAAATGTTTTATTTCGTGGCGTGATTAACGAATGAAAAGGATTAGATCGGGTGTAGTATACTTAGGAAAGAAATTTGATGTCTTCTATCGTGGAGGATGTGGTGGCTTGGGTCAGCAATTTGTGGAAATATGTCCCAATCAATATTGCTTGCAAATTTGTTGCAGCATCTTATTCCGCTCTTGACTACCAAGACTGGGTAACTGCCAAGAAGGACGTGTGCGGTGGACTCGTTCATATTAGGTGATTGAGAGCTGAAGAAGAATTCTCCGATCATGCAGATGGTGCTGTTATTGAAGATGATTTTGACGATCTATACGTTGAAAATGGGCATTTAGTTCTGTGTTTGCAGCGCCTAATCGAATGTGCATCGCAATAAATATGAAATATAAGGACTTACGTAGCGATTCCAGATCCTCCTGTGGAAATCTACTTGCGTGATCGCTGCTGATTTTGTACCCGTGCTATTTGTGCAACTTCCAGTTGCTACGCCACCTTACTACTGCTGTCGTACATTACCTACGAGGATAATTTCTTCTTTATGCGGGTAAAGTGGTATTGCACCATGCCTAATCCAATACCTTTTTTGCAAATTAGGGTGTAATAGGGTAAAATAAACCTGTTTATTAATCGGCAGAACCCCTTGTTTGTGCAAAAGCATGATTTATGGTAACATTATGGTTTTTATTAAATTACTGCACGTATAATAGCTACACCTATCACACAATATAAATATTGAGTGAACCAGTCTGAAACGAGATATGTGGAATATAATTTGAAGTCGTTTGTCGCAAAGATTACTTCAAGAAATAGAGATTTTGGTGTTAACATGCTTTTTAAAGCAAATCATAATCATAAAGGATAAATTGACTCTTTGCAGTAGTCCAAAAGTATAGTATCGTGTACGTCGATTTGTAGCTCGTTTGTTTGTGTGGTTTACATAACGTCAAATGTAACCGAATGGCTTCGTTATATGTCATTGATATTAAAATATGTTGCACTAAATTAATTACCGTATAAGATTCATCAATATAACCTGGTCAAGGCAAAATTTAAATATTATAACTTGGACAATGCAATAATGTTTTGCCGCTATTTTTATTGGTTGATAAAGGCCATAATATAAACCGAATTAATTATTAATCACTGCCAGACATACGTGAAGGGTGGTGAGCGTGAAATCTACGTAGTAAAGTGCAATAAGTTTATGTGAAATAGAGCAAAGAATTGATGAAAGTCAGATGAGTGAAACACCTAACTTGTTCATTAATCCCTTGTCAGTAATTCCTTAGCTCTCTCCGATACATTGCTTTATCTCACGATCATTTGTGCGTTACTCCCGGAAGCACACACCCTTGTGTAAATAGCACTCAAAGGTCCTACAGTAAATGTATGAGCGTTCTTATTACACATAATTACCTTTCAATATATATTATCGATAACATCATTCGTTTTCGGGGCTAATTTTTGTCAGCTACCGAATAAGGACCTTTCAGATTGCTCTT